ACGGTTGTGACTTTTCAAATATCATGCAGATTGGCTTGGCAACTACATCAGCCAGTTCCCTCAGGACTCTGGGATGTATCTCATCAGGTTCCATAGACTTATATATGCTCAGGCGGTCACGAACCTGATCTTCTTTTGCAGTGGGAGGGACTTTGCTCCCTCAGTCCCGGTCTTGCGGTCCATCCACTCAGGAGGTGGGGGAAGAGAGGTTGCCAGTGAAGACTGAGGCAAAAAGTTGAGTACCTCAGCCTTCTCCTTGCCTGTTGCTACCAGTTCGCCAGTCTTGCTCACTGGGGTGGGGCTGGGGGGGGATGCTTTCTTTGACCTTCCTTTTCTGGCTGACATACCTGTAGAAGCCCCTCTTACATAGAGTAGATGTTATTATGCCTCTATCTGGAAAAGATAACATACGTGGCTCAGGCCACCTCCTGGTTTGGTGCTGACTGCATCATTCAGCAAGAAGCAAGTTTGAGTGCCTATCTCTTGAAAATAATAGCTAGTGCACACCCCTGGATTTGCTGGGATGGAGAAAAGCGCAAAAAGACTACAAGCAGAAAGAAAAAAGGACAAAAAAATGCTGCCTGTGTCTTCCACTGATATGTATATTAGGACACATGTTCTATGTAAATAGTACCATGTGTGTAACTTGTTCAGATGTTTGGAAAGTGTAGGATGTTGTAATAGCCTTCAAATTAGTAAATAAGAATACAGCCTGTACACAGAAGTTAATTCTTGGCTATATTGGTGTCCATAGGATTTGGAGTGGTTCGTAGACAAAATGTGAAGTTGTGTTTATCAATATTGATGTGTCCTTAATGCCACTATACTAAATAGTCCCTTTTCCTGAACTCTGTAACCCCCTTTCAATGGCAATCCTTTTGAGGCAGCAAATGAGAAAAGAGAACCCGGTAATGAGTGGCCTTTTCTGGATCTTTTTGCTCTGTTAACAACCCTGCTTTCAGTGTTGTTCCTAAAGCAATTGAAAATGAGGATGTCTGGAAAGCTACGCTTACCAGTTATTGAGCATATAAAGTAAACTCCTGGTATGCCTTGTTAACTTTATAACCCTTTCAAACTGTAGCATGAAGTTGTATAGGCATATTCAGAAAACTAGATATTCATCTTGTTTAGTTTTATTTATGTGCTGTTTACTGTAGGTAACAAGTTTACTGCAGGATGGATTTTTGTGTTTTATAAAGCTGTGCTTTTCTTAGCCTTTAAGGGTGAAGCTGGCAACCATAATTAAAAGCAAGGATCCGTATGTTCCCCTTCTCCAAAGCTTCAGTTACAATCTCTTGATGAGTAAAATCAAGTCTTATGCTGAACTTTTCATGAAAGAAAATGAAACTAACTTCTTAATACAGGTATGTCAAAACTATTTTCAAAACTTATTTCAAAAGCAGTACTTGATAAGATTAGAGAAATGCTTTCAATGGAGTAGTTTAGACAATGTTCAATTATTGTATTGGATGTGAAGGAAGCTTTGTCTTCCTTTAGAGTGTCTTATTAATTAAAAAAAGGTTGAGTATATGTGTAGGAGAAAGTTAGTAGGAGTAAGACTCCTTTAAAATATCTTTTGTGAATGTTTTTTCCACAATTGTTTTGATTAGAAAAATAGTTAGGGGGAAATAAACATACACTAATAACAGACCTGGTTTTAATTATGCTTAAGAGAAGCAGTTCTGATCTGAGACTCCTTAAAACTTAGTGTAACTATATATTTAATGTTTATTTTCTTTAAATCTATATGACTTCTCATACTAAAAGTAAAAGATCAAGATCTGTTAATTTGGCTAAAAGCTTTAGGAATGTCAGAGGAGTTAGGAGATAGAAGACTATTATTGCTGTTTTCCCGTAGGTAAAAAAGCTCCTTACAAATCATCTTGCTGAGAAGTGATTTAAAATTGGCAAGAACAACATTCCTTCTGCAGTTCATCTTCAGGAGGATTGTAAAGAATTTCTCTTATATTTACTTCCTATAAAAGAATATTGAATTACTCAATTACAAAAGCACAAACATCTAAAGGTAATAAGAATCAAATTTTAAATAAACAAACCTGAAGTTCCTCTAGGGTTTTCGTTTTCTTGCCAGAACGAGAGACTAGAGAGCTTAATAAATGTATTCAAAGTATAATAAAAGGAATAACTTTTAATGGTTTCACTCGGCTGTCAGTTTTCAAGTTTATTTTTCCAGGCTATTTCTTTGAGTCTAAGAGGAGATGGAGGTTTGGAGGTGTTGGAGAAGGGCCAGAACTGTATGCCAGCATATCTAGGTCCTCTGTGTTGCACCCCCACTGCCTGTGCATCCATGCTACTGTCTGCACCAGTGTTTCAGATCTTACTTCTGAAATCTTTTTACTTTGGACTGAGTTGCTTGGGGATATGGAGGAGACCACTTTGTACAGAGTTCCCATTTCTGCTGTGCAATACACATTACTGTTTCCCAGCAGGGTACCCTGTATTCTCTACAGAGAAACACCCTAGCTTTAACTTGATCTCTCTTCTCTTTCCTCTGGTGTCATACGGAGAAGTATAAGGTGGTCTCCATTGCTAGACTGTTTTGTAGGCTGCTTTTTCTAGGTTATTGTCAAGCTTGGAATCTGCAAGATGGCAGCTCCTACTGTTGATACAAGTTCTTGTGCTTCAGGAAGCCCTTAAAGGTTAGCTGCTGTAAGAACAGCCTGCAGATAATGCATTACAAAGAAAAAGGACCGATACCAAGAAGGTGTTGATCTGAATACTTAACTTTTCTTTATAACTCTCACTTCTCTTCAAAATAAGTATTTTTAGGGACAAGTACAATTTGAAAGCTACTGTTACATTTTAAAATACAATGAATGGATTTAATTTTTTTTAACTAAATCCCTTCTATCCATTTATCTGTATGGAAACATGTCCTCACTTTCACACCTCTTTTGCTACCATCAACCACTGTAAAAGAGACAGTATTTTGAAAACTTACAGCTGAAAGATGTGGTAGGTTGGGTAGTTATGAAATTTCTGACAGTGGAACATTTTTCTTTAGTTATTAGAAGTATTCTGTGACCAGAACACGTTCCAGTATTTTCATGGTTGAATGAGTGAAATAAAGAATGTTTTTATATTATCTGACTCATAAGTGTTGAGAGATTCTGCAAGCTAATGTGAAAGACAGGTTAAGATTTCAAGAAGACTGAAAATTGGATGGGTGACAGAAAATAAACAGCAGGCAAAAGCAAGCCCTGAAAGAAGAAATAGTCAAAAAGTGGGAGCAACTGGCTAAGCAGAAAAAGAATTAATATTGGGCCTGTAGTGAATTTGTCAACTTTGAATAATTTTGATATTTGAGCGTTGCAAAGCAGGTCACCTTTTGGGATGTATAAACAGTGTTGGGTGGAAGGTGGTTGGGCTCTGCTTAGTAATGATGGTGTACAACCAGAATTTTTCCATGGTTTGGGCAGGAAGTGTACTTTAAGATGCCAGAGAAGAAAGTTGATAGCAAAGTGTCAAGAATGACCTCATGTGGACAGAGTGGTTGGTTTTGGGGGTTTTTTGAAGGTGTTATTTATTATAGCAAGTAGGTGGAAGGAATCTTGGGAAAAGTACAAATCTTGTGATTCTCAGAACGCTCTATAAAGAGTAATGAACTACTCCTTCCTCACCTTGGGAATGCAGCAGAAATAATCTTAGTTTGTGGCTAAAAGTTTAGGCAGGATGTTACAAAATTCTTTCACTAATACAGAAAACCTTACACTTCAAGCCTAAAGTCTGATTAGATGTAGATCTTGGGAGTGGTATAGGTATGCTTGATCCTGCCATGCCCTACAGAACTAGATGAACTTGTGAGGTCTGTCAGTTTTCAGTTTCTAATCTAGTTATAAAAAACAGACTTTGGAGTACGTTGATAGTATTTGCAGTCTCAATGGATTTCAACTTAACACTACAGTTTTTTGGGTTTTTTGTTTTTTAAACTGTTTATTTAAACGGTAGGACCTCTGAAGGGTCTGTGAAATAAGCACTGTTAGTCCTGATAGTACACATTAATCTTAGTATGAATTACTACCGAGGTAGCAGCTGGCTTTAATTTTAAAGTATTGATTCCACTTCTCACAGGCAGCCACAAAACAGGTAGTGTCTAAAGGATTGGGAGCAACAGCGTGGCATAACGAAACTGTGAATGTCAACGAAAACGATGAAAGTAATTTGGAAACAAAACAAAGGTTTGTATTCAGCATTATACTGCTGAAGGACATGCTTGGACAGTAACTTGAAACTTGTAGAACTAAGAGTAGGTAGAAAGAGGGAAGGATGTTAAATTCCAAACTGCCGTCCAATAGAACATGAACTACAAGCACGTACTCTATTTTTAAGTTTCGGCTTTTCTGTGGTTGTTACTCTTGGCATTAAGTTTAAGTACTTGTTGAAGATGCACATTTTTCAGTTTAAACAGTTGTCAATCTTGTGTAACAACAAAAGTATAGAAATACTTCCCTACCCTTTTCTCTCTGCTGGATTGAGCTTTTAGTCCTGCCCTCCTAATTGTACGCTATAGGTCATCTGGGGAAGAAAGAGGATAGGGAAAGGGGATTAGTTTATTTCTTTTTCCTTACAGCTAAACACAAGATTCCCTTCCTTACTGATACTAGTGTTATGGGAAATCGTTATGTTGATTCATAACTCTGTCTAATTGTTTTGAGGGTTCACATTGCCAGTTTTCTAAGAACTGCTGGTGGAACTTGAAGCCCAGTTCTTTCCCCCCTCGTTTGACTTTATTTTGAAAAATGCTAATATTCTAGTTTTATCACCACTTGTTTTTCATGGAGAATAAATTGTAATATCTGGTCAAGATAGAGCTTTGTTTTCTGCAGTATTAGACTTGGAATACTTGGGATCATTTAGTTAAGGAAATTGACTGGTGCAGACAAGAGTATACAGGAAGACAAATCATAAGACTTTTTTAGAAGGACAGCTCCTGACACAGTTATATCTAAGAGGGGTATGATGAAAGACATGATCAAAAAACCTTTGAAAACAATTCCTAGATTGTGAAGAAGCAAGATATTAAAAAAAAAAAAAATTAATGTTTGAGATGCCTCATGTCTTCAACTTAAATGTGTAATGTCTTGTATTTCCCCTTCAGGTATCGGGAGGTGAGGTTAAGAGGATTTTGGAAAGGAAGGAATTGCTTAACATGTACAAGTTCCATGTTTTTCAAGGCTTTTGTTATTGACTAATGGTAGAATTGTGAACAAATGAGTTGAAGCAGTTAGTGTTTGTATGCCACTGTTTCTGTGGAGAAATCTTGGGATTTTCTTTCATTTAAATATTGTTGATTCATATAAATGGTAAGTTGCTGCCTAGGAAATATGATTTTTTTTTTTTTTTTTTTCTTCCCCCTCCTTAAAGATCAGTGAAAGAGCAACAGAGTATTACGAATCAGTCACCTGGGGACATAAAAAACCCCACAATAAGGTAAAAAACTTTTTTGTTTCTACGCTTGGTCATAGACATTTAATGAAGTTTTGTGTATTTTTACTTTGGTTCTGTATTTCTTGCAGGTGTCATTCAGGACGGAAACACAGACTGAACCATGTTCTTCAGAGTGAGTATCAGCTTATTTTTACACTTTCAAAACAGCCATTTCAAACACTTTCTCCCCTCCCCCCCCCTTCAATGAGTTGGTGGTTTGATAACTGCTATCCAGTGTGACTGAATTAATATAAACATGATTGTCGTGAAAAAACCCCTCCCACTTGCAATGTATGGTTTCTGCACAAATGCAGATTTGGTGGTTGCCACATTTATGAAACTATGGAATGACTTAAGGTCACCTGGCAACTCATTTTGCAAAATCATTCACTATGTTCTGGTTAGCTTGGGGTTTTATTTGCTTGTTTGCTTTACTGGTATTTGCAGTGTTCTATGCAAAAGAAAGCTGCTAGAGCAGTACTGAAACTTGTCTCTTTCTGACTTCTGACCTAAGGGAAGGAACTAAAGAGGCTGGCTGATGGGAAAAACAAATTGTGGTGTAAAATGCACGAAGCTAGGATGTTCATGCATCTTCCTGGTATTACTTTTTTAAAACTTACAACATGGGTTATAGAATACTTATAACTGAAAACCGTTAGCACCCTCTTACTGCAAAGAAATGACATTATAGCTTCTACGTGTGGGAACGTTGTACTTGGAAGGACAAAATCTGAAGACGCCTTGGATGCTTGCCACAGTTAGAACCTGACACGTGTTCTGTGGAAATGATGGAACCGTACACAGAGTATCATAGCTTTGATTGCTGGTTAGTTTCCATTCTCTCTATGTAAAGTGAGAGCACTATGTATAGTAAAAATATTTTACCAAAATGAAATAATAATGTTTCATTATTCTGTACCAATTTTTACCTAATTGTTTAAAATATAATTCTTCTGTGAGCTCTATTGCATAGAAAATATAGGGACTCTTTTGAACAGACTATTTTTTGAGTCCGTGGACTAAAAGGTGAGATTTGTGTATATACATATATGAAAGTATATTCGTATATAAGCAGACACTGCAATTTTCCCAGTCTGTCAAAGCATATCAAAATAATGTACATTCGTGTCTCATTCAAATGGTAGAATGCAAAAGTGCTGCCTTAATGTTGACTTCTTGTTGGTCTGGATGTACTGTCTTCTAGATCTGAGCAGCTTGCAAAATGTGGAAAAACATGGAAACACTTTGGCTTGTGGCCGAAGAAGACAGGTTTGTACCCATTCTCTATTCTACATGGAGAAGAAATTAATCTGCACTGCATAGACTTTTTTTCCCAAGTTCTTTTGACTCTGTCTCCAAAATGCCTGAGTTTAAGATTCTCCACATTACTAAAGCTGTGCTACAGCTCCTGGAACTGTTTTTAAGTTCTAATTGCTGTCTTGGAAAAGTATTTCTTTAGTGCAGTCCCAAATATTGTTGCTAGTGCTTATGAACCTTTAATTTGTTGAAATAAGCTGTTACTAAAGCTTAGTCTTGGGTCTTTTCAAAATGTGAAAAAATTAAGAATTATTTCCACTATTTGGATTGAAGAATTCAGGATGTTATTTGCCCATGAGAGTTCTGGGAAAACTTCGAAGACTCTTTGTTTTCCCACTTAGAAGGTTAAAGATTTAGCAGTTTTATAATTTAATACTTCATTCATATGAGGTCAAAACATGTGTTTACTTGGGAAACTATTTTAGTTTTTATAAACCAAATAATAAGGTCTTTTTATAATGCTACATTTCAGATAGTCCTTTTGCATTCTGTTCATGGGTAAACGTACTTCACTGAATTACTGCAAAATAATGTCACTGTTCACTAATGCTAGAATTCCCTGTTGGTGGGAAGTGCAGAAGTGTGTGCCTTAATAGGAGGAAATTTGAAGTTGATTTGATGTTGGGATAAACTGTTACAAACTGATTTTTGCACATAGGCAATTTTCTTCAGTTATCATGATAAAATGATAAACACTTCTGAATGAAATTAGTATTAAATAAATGTATTCCCATTGTTGAATTTCTCTTGAGAATATCTTAGGAAGCAATATGGAGTCTTACTGTTTAGATAACAGTACAAGTTGTCAGCATATGACCATTTTGGTATGAGCTGTTTCACTTTTCTGATGTTAATCTTGACGCGTCATTTTTTATATAACAGGGAAGGACCAACCTGCTTATGTTTTTCTCAGACTGTCCTGGAGGAGACTTGTATTTATTCTTAGTTCTTGAAGCATTTTTGCTGAAGTTGAAGTATGGGTTAAATCTTCAGTTACATGTTGTCCTCAAATTGCTTGAGGTCCTAATGAGAGCTCATCTGTCCTTGGAGGTTAAGCTCCCTCCTGCATATGCACACTTTTTCACTTTCTCGCAAATCACAGGAATAGTTAAATCACTGAGAGCCCCCTTAAAAGCTCCAAATACAACCAGTGCTTTAAAAAAAAAAAAAAAAAAAAAACCACACCACCCACATCAAACCCCTGCGTTTGCTTGTTGCCTTCAAAAACATAATAAATTACTTTATTCTGACTTATACTTGGGTAGGTACCTTGTCAGATGCTGGTAAGCATGCACACTTCCATCAATTTTGTGTTGAACATCAAGATTTAAGCTAATTGGACCACAAGTGACACAGAGCTAATGACGGCTGTATATTCACCTGTTTTTATGTTGAGGTAGTCTGTTATGGGGTCAGCTACAAGCTGTATTCAGGTCTAGGACTTGTGCACACATCTCGCTAGAAAAAAACAGATGTTGTGCTTTATTATAGTTCAATCTGAATTGTAATATAAAAACTAAATTTGTAGAAAATTACACCTGATAGTAGAGAAGAACTCATTGAAAATTTTATAAAAAAACTTGAAAGAAATTAAGATTCAGAACTATGTTTCTTTAAACACTTAAGAAAGGAGGGCATTTGCTGTCTGCATGATATTTATGCCATACTCCCTGCCAGTGAGACCCCTCATAAATATTGCATAGAAAGCAGTTATATTGGCCTTCTAAACAATAAATCTGCTCCTCTGCTTAATAATCTGATTATAAAATTGTCTGCATGCATGAAAGAATGCAGTGAATGTCAGAGCTGTTGACTTCTAGAACTTCCATTTCCATGTCTTCCCTCTTTCAATGTTGGCATTGTTTGCTCTTGTTTTGGAAATAGCATTTTGTTGCAATGGTTCAGTGCCTGTTTTCAGCCTTTCACTGCTGTGTTTTCAGTTAGCTGCATACAACAATCTGCAGTGCTATTGAAAGGAAGTGTACTTTATTTTCTTGTTCTTAAATTAGGGGATGCAAGTGTCACAGAATTTTGGGAGCTGTTTGTACTCAACTTTGTCCTGTGTGTGCATGGCAAGTCCTGCAAGTTGTCTAAAACCTGACTGACAGTTTGCTTAAATTTAGGAATGTGTCTGAAAATCTGGATTTTCAGAATTTAGTCAGACTTGTATGGAAAAAAAAAAAATTCCATGTATTTGAACTTCGAGGCAAAAATACCAGACCAGAGTCCCAGAACGCACAATCACAGGAAGACAAGGTTACTAGAGCAGAACTGACTCTAAGGAATAACAAGATCTTTAGATATGTGAGGATATGTCTACACAGTCTGTCTGGAAAACTCAGGCTTGTTCTGCCAGCATTCTGAGATAGCCAAATGTCACACTGCTCTGGACTAGGCGCTGTGATTAGGTCAGCTCAAGCACAGTGCTGCGTTATGTCCAGTCTCTAAACCAGGGGCTCGATAGCTTGTAAAAGCGCAATGCTAGAGACTCCATAACTGCCTCTCCAGAGGGCACGGGCAGTTTGTCGCGGGGGGCAAGTTGCTGCTCAGTACGTTTCCTCAGTGAATAGAAAATAAATCAGTCTCTGGCTTATCTGTAAGGCAGGCTTCTCATTTATCTGTTAAACTGAAGAAATTTATTCTTAAGAAAGCTCAGTATAAGCCATTTAAAAGCGAACAAGCGAAAAAGCAACCCTTTTAACAGCAAATGTAACTAATCATTATAACAAGTAACAAGGGTTGTGATTGTCTGTTGCTGGAAGTATTTGAATTATCTGGTGCTGTAGGTCAAGCATAACTGCGTTACTTGAATAAAGATTTTATTTAGGAAAGCTTTCTCACATCCACTGGAATGAGATGAACTAGGTGGTTCCAGTGGAATCTCTGGCCTTTTAATAATAGAAAAAAACCCCACCCTTTGCTGCTAATGTTGCAAAAGATCTGTAGAACGGAAAGTGTTGGGGAAAAAGGAAGTATTTTGATAAAGGGCTGACTACTTCAGAGAAGCCTTAGGTTTCTGACTGTTTAGAAACACAGCTGAATGACTACCACTCAATTCTTCCACTGCTTAGTGAAGTTTATCAGCGATCATAGTTTCTCAAAGAGGCAGTGATAGTTTCACTAAGCTGGAAGAAGTCCAGCTTTCAAAAGTGAAGTTTGATCTTCACATACCTCAACCTGCACTTTGTGGATGCCAAATTTTCACTTGTTGCAGAATAACCAGAATATAGTTTTGATCGGGCTGAATGTTATTTACGCTTCTTCCCCCCAAGAGACACCCCACTGCTTTTCACCTCTGAATGCTGCTGTCACTTTTAGAAGTTTAAATTCAAGTGAAGGGGGGAACCATGTAGAATGGCACTCAGAATTGTCACCTGGCCTGTGCTTGGTGCCTGAGTTGTTGTTCGTCTTAAAGGCAGAATCTTTTAAGGATCCCCAGAATGGTTCCAGGTGATTAGGAGAGGAGATAGTGAAAAATTTCCGTGAGTGAGGGATTCATCTGAGCATGCTTGGGTATATGGACCTCTTGTGCCACTGACAGTCATGCTTGCTGGCCCTGGATTATTCTGCCCAGCCACCCCTTGTGCACAAGCAGGATGGTATGCGTTTGTCTAATGACAGCAGCCAGGAGATTGACTTTTCCACTGGGTACATTATTTGCAGAGTTAAGTGATGTTTGTTCACCTGTAATTCACAGATTTCCTCTGTACTACTCAGTTCTACTTTATCGAGTTTAAATTTTTGTACGTTGAGGCTATCCCTTTGCAACTGCATTTCGCTTTGTACCAAATTTATCACAATTTTGAAAGTTGCAGTTGTAAACGTCAGCCATAGCCTGATTCTCTCGGGTTCCCTCCTGCTCTATAGCCAACACCATTTATATGTTGATAGTTGGAAGTGATCTGTTACTTACAGGAGGAGGACTTGTACATACTCTGGTAAACCTCTCTTTTTGTCCCTCTACCTACAACTAGGCCTTCAGCCTCAGCCACTTACACCTCCTATTGCTCTTCTGAGGTTCTATAAATGTTCGCCCTCCCATCCTGTTGTTCTAATTAACCTGAGGATTTATTAGCACAAGTCCTTCTTGGGAGCCCCTATAAGGCTCTACAGTTTTGGTTACAAATTTGTCATTGTAGGCACATTAGCAAAGGATTGGTCTCCCATCACATAAAGATTATATGCGTTTAATCTTGGGTATACTCCCAACTTGACTGCATGCTGCTGGCTACAGCACTGTTAAGGGCTGTCAGAAGCAGCCGCCTCCTCCAGCAGCCCCAGCCCAGGACCCTCCTGCCCGGCACCTGGGGTCTGTGGGGGGGACGCGGCTGCTGCTTTCCCCTTTGCAGGCTGACCCAGCAGCAAAGCTGAGCACAAATCCTAGAGACACACAGACACGGGACACACGCACAGAGGACACCGACACAGACTGCTGTGGACAAGGTGCTGCCCTCAGCAGCACCCGCACGCAGCACCCTGTGTGAGACACAAGCGCAGGCACCCATGTCCCCTCCTGTGCTCTGTCTGGTAGAGGCGTACGGTCGCTGGTAAAAGCACCCACCCCCCTCCCTAGGTTCACAGCCACGCACACACGTTCATGGGTGCCCCAAGTGTGGACACAGCCATTCTGCCTGCCCGCCATCCCCACCCGCATCCCAGCCCTTGCACCCCCTTCACGGGCCCTTCACCCGCTGGCTGGTGCAGCTGGATGCACCGCACATGAGCACTCGCACACTCGTCCCTCGGGCACTCCGCATTCCAGTCGCACTCCAGTGCGCCCTTGCCAGATGTCTCCCTTTCAGGCAAAAGGTGAAGTTTTCACTCATTCAAGGAGACGAAGGGAAGGCAGAGGGGGCCAGTAGTGCCTGGGTGTCGGTTTCTCATCTCTGCTGCCACCAGGCTGACCCTCCAGCCTGACAGTAATAAGAGACAAAGGCAAAGCTACAGGACCCACAAGGGCTCCTCCTGGTCACAAGGTCTGTCGTGAGCCCACTGTGCTGGTCAGGAACGTTAACATCGGGTCCCAAGGAAGCTCATACTGGAGCTGGAGACAGGGAAGGGGAAGGGATAACTGGTAACCCAGGGCCAAACCTCCACCCCTTGCCCTTGCAGCTGAGTTAATGCTAATCTCAGCAGGGCGGCTGACTGTGGCTTCAGCCCTGTCCTGAGCCCAGCTTCTTCATTGCATGTTTGTACCATGTTAATAGCTGAAACCAACCCAGACTGTCCCAACCAACCTCTCCTAAATTTTATCAGATACCAGAAATACCTCTAACAGACTTGACCAGACCAGAATTATGATTATCTGTCCCTCTATTAGCTGGCAGTGGGGTGCTGGACTCACCTGTGTTCAAAGCTGGGATTCAGCAGCCCCTATACGTCGCAGGAGCCTACAGATGACACTCACCCAAAGCCCCAGCAGCGATGTCCGAAGGTCCTGTGCCTTTACAAGCCGTGGCAGGGAGCAGCCTGCAGGCCTCCCAGGCGAGGCAGGACCGGTGAATCCCATTCACAGCATGGGATGCTGTCATGGTAGTAACCCCAACTGCAATTTAGATGGGTCAGAGCAGAAGCAGCTTAGTGCTGTGGCTGTAGGACAGGACAGAGAGCAGCAGAGCGACAGCCTCTGCTGATGGGAGCTCTGTCCCGTTGGGCCAGCTGTAGTGCTCCCATAACTTTTACAACCTGTTTTTCACCAAAAATGTGTGTCAGAGAAGCAGCATATGGTACATAACAACAGCAAATGAAATTCATCCGACAGTACATCCTTTTGCAAATGGTTTTCTCTTTTGTCAGTTAAATCGTTCTGACCGGCAAGACCATTAGCTGCAAATGCTTCTTAACTGCTGAGGCCTGCAAAGGCCTATGAGACATTAATTATTTTGCTTTCACACGCTGAACATGGGGAAGTAATTTTTGATCATTTGCCTATGTACATTTCATAGGGCTCTTATGAACAAAAAGGCTGACTTTTTTGCTATTTCAGAGCAACTTCAAAATAAGCAAAGCACAGAGAGTGGTTAAATGCAGAAATAAGAGAGCTCCTTAGTTGGATTTTCAGCAGTCATTTGCTTATGATATGCACATAAATGCAGATTTTGTAAAAGTTCGGTAGCTAATGATTTTTAATATGGAATCTGCTGGTGCTCACAGAAATGCCAGCACGAGACCAGTGAAAACTGACCACTGGTCTCCTTTCATAACTTACTATGGTCCATGAGACCATCAGGAGCAGCAGGACATCTCCTGTGCTAGAAGCAGAAGTGAACACCGATAAATTAAATGGAACAGCTACACAATGCAATTCTCTGTACATCTCAGTCTCATTAACATTTTTAAGTTTGCATTTCTCCTGTAAGTTAAGTCTTTACATTTCAGATTTTGGGCAGTAAATTTAGAAAGAACATGCTACCAAACTGCAGTTTGAAAGAGAAACGGATGCTTACTTTTTAGAGACGGTTTTCCTACACAGTTGTTTCAACTGGGGATCCTGTCCTGTATTTGCATAGATCATATGTAATTCAGTTTGCCTAAGGAGACGTAGTGATCATACATCAGCATGATTAGTTTTGTATGAAGCAAGCAAGGATTTGAAGACATTTACAGAGGATCAGATTCTAGCAGAGTAAGTTGTTTTAAAATAACGTCATATTAAAGTTGCTAATTGCTATTCCAGAGTGAAAAAATGACTGTATGTAATACACCTTTATTAAAAATGCAGTGGTTAAAAATAGGCCTAATAGAATATATAGGATCTGTAAACTTTTGTGTTATATATGCATATTTCTATAAAGCTACAATAAAACTGCTGCTCAGTTTTCCCTCACACTTTACTGTAAGGTTTTAAAAATCAGTTATTTGATTTTTAAAAAAATCAGTTTTCTTTCACTGTATGTGCAGTCTTAAAATTGTTTGTATTGAGATATTTGTATTAAGAAGCAGCTAAGGAAGAACTGGTACACTGGAGAATTTTATTGAAAGGGATTGCTTACAGATGTATAAGTGCAAGTAATTTTCTCTCCTTTTATGAAATAGATGTCATCCCCTAAAGATTAAAAAGCTCGTACGACACGACAGTGAGACTTAAGTAGTGGGCTGAAATGGCTAAAAATAAATGCATGGCTGTTACCTGACGATATGGCTGATCTCAATTTCAACTGCAATAAGTATCATTTTGTTTCTATCAGCATTTTAGATATTGGGATCTGTTTTTTCCAAGCACACTGAAATTCCTTTGGTTTTGGTAAATGGTGTCTTGATTCTCAGTCCCTAGATTAATGTGTCACAAAATGTGTTCTCTTTTGTGATGCATACTGAGTCAAGGTATGTCTTGGCTTACTTAGCTAATAAAGTACAATTTTGGACAGCATGTTTTGAATGATGCAAAACTTTTCCCAATGTCTTTTTTCATTGCTTTTCCTCCTGTAACTTGGAGTGTTGAAGCATGTGGTTCTCGTTCCAGGTGATGCCTGCTACTGTGTAGTAATACTTGGCTTGGTAACCTTTGTTGTTATATTTAGTGTCAAGTTACAGTGCTCCAAAGAAATCAGAATGACCCTACTGACCCTCACACATCTGTTCTCTGTAATAACTAAGAAAGCTGTATAAAACCTTGATTTTGTATTTGCTATAAGCTTAGCTCTTACATTAATACCTTTCTCTGTTCACATATGTGGCATTTTTCTCTGTTCTTCCCCTAGCGATGGACTTACAAAGAAGACTTGGAACTGAAATCAGGAGTAAGGGAGTTTGGAGTGGGTAACTGGGCTAAAATTTTGGTCCATGGTGACTTCAACAACCGAACTAGTGTCATGTTAAAAGACCGGTGGAGAACACTGTGCAGGATCGAACAAGGCTAATTTGGACTACAGGAATCAACTCTTCTTGGTCTTTGCCTATGTAAGAACCTAGTCTATCTTTTCAGAATTATAACTTCTCTTAGTCTCACAGTGTCCAGCAGTGTTGCTGTCCTAAAACATGGCACAGATTATTAATAGGTATAAAACATTCATGTAAGCTCACTTGCCTGGCTAACAATGACTTAAATGTAAAGCCTGGCCTTTTATCTACATGCAATAGATGACCTAATTTCTGAAATGTGAAAATGCTTACAGTCATTTAAGAAAGGTCAGTTATGTACATAGAGGTATTAAATGACTGGCAACAGGTTTAGCTTGATAGAGGTTAATACAGAGTCAAGTGTTGTGTATTTTTAAAGGGCCGTATCCCTAGTCAGATTGAGCTTTTTATGATTTTACTTCCTGCTGTATAACCCATTCTAATCTGATTTGCTTCACTCTGAAATTTTGGTCAGGCTTGTCATCTCTGTCAGCACGTTATACCAAAAACTATGTATGTACTGGTATTGCTAATTTTAGAAGCTGATTCCTTGTTTTGCAGTTAAAAATGTGATACTCCATGTAGTTTTATAAGTAGTAAAGGTGCTGCCTTTTTTTTTTTTAAGAAATAAGCTGTAGTTCTAGGTGGAATATTATTTTGAACTGATGTATATTGGCATAATAGCACTTTTTATCTCGCAGAAGAGATGGAAACGAATGGAAAGTAACAGTGTGATACTAGCTCTTAACATCTTGGGATTGTCTTGTGCTACCTACCTTGTCTTGAGAAGTGGCTTCTTCTAGACCAGCAGGAAAAGGAAAGCTTGAGAACAAATGGCCAGAGTGGGGCTCAGTAACGAGTCTGTACTGACACTGATAGCACAGCTCGTGAGACATGTCTCATCTGTGCCTTGCGCTGTCTCTCTCTGCAGCGACAGCAAGCAAAGATACACTCTGATGGGGGTAACTGTCTGTATCAAGGTGTCAGTTGGTCCCTGTAAATGTCCTGCTCGTGAGAGCCTGTAACAGCTGGATGATGGTATTATGCTGTCTCTCTTGATTCAGATTGTGTGGAAGAGTTCCACAACCTCAGAAAACCCATACATTCCACTGTCACACTGGTGAATCTAGGGACTTGAACTAATATATCACAGTGTTCTTTTAAAAGTGAAATCTCTTCAATTCAGATGTTTTCTGTACCTTTGTCCTTGGATAAGGTTTTTATTTTACAAGAACCTTACAAGGAAAAGCATCTGTCCAAGCTGGTCATAATAAAATAAACCTCTCCGAGATGGTTTTCCTGGCTACAAAGGAAGAGGTATATTCTTGAAGGCTGAAATGTTCAGGAAATATTAAGATAATCTCTCTGCTTTCTGTTTAGGAGGCCTGCTTGCATTAAGATAAAACAGCGAAGTACAGATACAAAGGTTTGTTTTACACTTTTACTGTGGACAGGACCTCAGCCAGATCACCTTCCACCAGATGCTACAGTTTCTTCTTGCAGCCGCTAGAAACAGCAGCAAGCAGTAATCTTAGATTCCACAGAGATACTGCATGTCTTAACAGTAAAGTTTCTCAACCTTAAGGCATCATTTCTTTTTACTAAACATGCTGAATTTCAGGATTTTGGTAAAATACAGGCTTTGTCCTTCAGCAAGGAATGCTAGAGCAGCTGTAAGCCACCAATTCAAAAAAAAGTCATAGCAGGCATCTGACAAGTGAGAAAGTCTGCGGTATGCAGCCTCTTTAATGCTTTAACAATAATTCAAGGTAAGTAATAGGCAACAAAACAAGGATTTGAGCTACCTGTGTAGCAGTCTTGCCTGTGCTCTAGTATTGCAGATTTCTTTGTTAATCATTGTACATCAGCAGTTTGAACTAGTAATAAGTGATACTTTTTAATGTTAGCCAAGACTTTACTCACAAAGCCTTGTTTAGGTTCATCTGCTGTAAGTTCACACTGCGTATTAGTGGCATGAAATTCTTAGCAAGACTACTTCTTAACAACACTGACCAGTCTTAACGTTTTTATGAAGGTGGCTGGACATGAAAACTGTCATGTAGAGGAAGAATACTCATCCACCTGTAGTATAAACAACTGTCTAGATGATACTGGGAAGGAACAAAGGATCTAAACTGATGTCATTTTTATTCACCCTTGCTATTTAATGATGACAGTAACTGTTCTCAGACTGAAGAATGTTTTGGTGGCTCACAACTGAGAAGAAGCAGTGCCTGTAAACAGGACTGTGGCCAGTAAAGAACCAGAACTTTAGGAAAAGCAGCTACTACGGTTAGAAACATTAGCTCTTTAATAACAAAAGAGAAACATGGAAACATGCTTCTAGTGTTCTAATACAAAGATCGGTTTTAGCGTTTTGTACTAAGACAGAGAGGGTTTCCCAAAATGCTTCTTCCAAATTTCTGACTCCTTTAAAATTTGTCTAGGCTCCAGAAAACGCAGCAGAAAGATGTAGGTTTCTTGGCTTTGGTGTTAATTTTCTTAATCTTTTGTTGTTGCTGTTTTGAAGGTCTTTTAAACTTTTATGTAAAAATAAAGCTATGCACAAGAGGACATGAACAGTGCTCCAGTTGCCGAATCTTCTTCCAGGTTCCTTGGCACTGAGAGTTGCCAACTGCTTCCCAGTGTAAGATTTTATCTCTGAAATGTGACAATAAATGAGGAATTAAAACATGAAAACTGTATATTTCATATTACTAGTTTGTGTTGCATAACATGTCAGAAGATTAGATTTGCTTAATAATGTAAGAATTTAATTAGCTTATCTAGCTCTTAAAATGCTTTCTGGATCAGGCACTATATTCCTAAAAATAGTACATGGGATGGTGGATTGAGTTGCTGATTGTACAGGTGTTAAGTAGTACACGTATTAATAAATGTATAGATCAAATAAAAATCTGTTCCAAATATTACATCTACTTTCAAAATTATTGTTCTAGAAACCAGGTGTGTAGGTTTGAGAGGAGTACTGATCCACCACTGTTAAACCTAAAATCAGATTTGGATTATGGCAGGAAATACCGTTTTTAAGTAAAAGTGCCCGTAGCTGTAAAAAGACCTCTTGCACTGCAGAAGTTGCATCATCCCTTCACAACAGTGAATAAAGCATCCAAAGCACTGAGCTCTTACATTGAAATTCCCAATTTTATCTAGGTTTTAAAAGTAATTTCTGTGAGAACTGAAAGGTAAATCTTCTGAGCGCTACAATTGATATGAGGTGTTTCATTTTTTTGGGTATAATAAATGCAGCTTTTAATGATACCTTGAGAAGTCATAACTTCTATACTGGGTTTTGCTACAGAAGAGACAGCAGAAAAATGGCTTTCTTTACCCATCTGCATTATGGCCATCTCCAGAGCAGCGGTGCGTGTCAGTATTCATAGCTGGAGGCTGGCAAGCCACACACACCGTGTGTCCTTCTCGTAGGTACTGCATCCATCGAGCGTATGGCCGGTTCTCCAAAGCACAGTGGTGTGAAAGTGATTCTGTTTTAAACTCCACGCAATATCTGCTCAGAAGGAAAAGTACTAAATTAGTTACGATAGATAATGCACAAGCTAGGTATACGCTTTAAATGTACTTACATACCATACGGAGGGTACTTGTGAAGCGCAAGTGAGACATCGTTGCTAACAAGTCTGTTTCTGCCCCTAACCTATTTAATGGAGTCTTAAAAACATTACACAAACTATTTCTCATGCCATACCCCAGTCTAGGGCTGTATGTATAATCTCACTTTCTGGTTGTGTTCTGTATTCTTAAATTATGTTGAAAACCAGATCTCAGTAACCCATATTTTTTCTTCTACGTCTGTTAAAAGAGAAAATGGAAAAAAAGCCTTAAGAATACCAATGGGCTTTATTGTTCTGGGGAAAGTAGCATAGGGCGAAGCATTATGAGCAGTACAGACCCAGTAGAGTCTAATTTAAACTTCATAACCATCTCTGCTGGTGCCCAAACAAAAATTTTTACTTCTCATGTCAATTAATGTTAAAAAAAGGGACCGATCACATTCAGCCCATTTTGTTTGTTCAGAGATCTATGTGTAATTTCTCAGACTTACATTTATAGATACATTTGGCTTTGGTTTAGCATTATTTACTGTTTTCTTTCAAAAGCAACTGTCCTCAGATTTGCCATGATCCCAATGTCTAATTCAGGACAATTAGCAAGTAATAAAAACCAACATCTAGAACATGCAAATGAATTGCAGGAGAAAAAAAGCAGTACAAACTCTAGCTTATTGTTTAATTATTGTAAATTTAATTACATTTTCTCTGTAGCCAGCTATTTTCTGTTTAGCAAAATGACCCACATGCATATGATAATAATTACCCAGCTGCTTCTTTGTCTGAAGGCCAAAGAGAAGATGCTGCTCGCCGTTTTCTCTCTTTACCGTACTCAGAGGTAGTTATGAAAGCAGGGACTGAGGAAGAAAAGAGTTACGGTAAGGCAGCAAGACACAGCTGAGTCACGTTTCAATTACTGTAACAGCGGGTGAATGAATCAGGAGCTTGTGGATGGTGACGTTGACTGACTTTATTGAAAAAGTGATAAAATGTTGGCAACATCAGACCTCAACTCCATTCCCTACAGCTAAGCTCTCTCCTTACTCAGAAGAAATGTATCTAGAAATGCATGCAGGCTGGTCTGTGAGGGAAATAGGATGTACTGGAATCCTGCAAGGAGCTCTGTTTGGTGTTTTGTCTTCTGATTTTGCACTGAGATAATTTGATAGTGAGGGGCTTAAATCAAGAACCTGAAGGAATGCATACCAGCTTAGTTGTTCACTTAATAGAAATTAGGAAAAGCCTGAACAGGAAAAGGATATAGGAATAGAATAAAGAGCAATATGACAGAATAAAGTAAGGTTTTAAATTACATTTTTAACCAGCTAGCTGCAGATAGATGTATTTTTGTGATGGGGACAAGTGTACAGGTAAAGCAAAAAGAATACCATGTTCATGGCCGCAGTCCTCTCCTTGGTAAGTCAGGTATTCCAGGCAGCCGGCCTTCTCCTCTAGAGCAGGACAAGGTTCCCCACCGTTTTTAGGTTCCTGTTGTACATAGCGCCTACGTATCCGCAGACTGGGCTGGCACTGTTCTGTGCAGCCACTCCAGTGACTCCACTCCCCTACAACGCACGGAAGAGCTGCAAAGCAGTATTAAAACATTGCTAGTAGTCAAGACTCCTGTTTTATCCTAATTGCTCTCAAAAGCTTGAGTAATAAGACCGTGTCTGGTTTTGTCTTTCTCACATACTTTTATTTATAGGGTTTTAAATGCTCTTCTAGGTGTTTGTATCTTCAAATTTAACATTCAAACCTGCCTGTAGTGCCTGACTCCCTATTCCATCCCTTGTCCAGAAGGAAACAGCTCCTCATGGAAACATTTCGCTACAGCTGTGGGGTTCTTCTGTACCCTCCTCTGAAGCACATGGCATTAGCCCCAAAGGAAACCAGCTCATGGATTATCTAGACCAGTGAGTGGTCTGACCTACCTTGGCAGATCCCATACCGCTAGATTTTGTTCAAAGGCTGGAACATAAAGTAGCAGAATTCAGGAAGCCTTTCAGACCTCTTGATTCCCTCAGATTGATATCTAACCCATTTTCCTCAACACTGAAATAAGTTCTATTGCCATAGCTTTTTTGCCCTGTCTTAACACAGGCTGTCCTGGTGCACGGTCCTTGCTGCAAAGACAATTTTTGGTGACAATTTTGGTTTTGTTTAGTCTCAGAACAATGCAGGGATGTGTGTAGAGTTGTGTTTCTGTATCTATATAGATAGAGCATTACAACAATGCAGATATTTAAATGTACTAAATAAAATGTGTAAAAATGTAACTTTTAAGGCCCCCCCCAGCTATAGAATGGTCCACTGGATATGTGAATTTTAGTTCTCATGGATCATAAACTTCCTCTGAACTTGACCAAAACATTAAGGGGAAACTGCCATTATTTTGAAACAAAACTTTGAATCAGAAGAAACTGCATTTCCCTGAGGCAGAGCATCAGTAGCACAGGTACCATATGTTTGTACTTTTGGTCTCTCCTAACCCAGCCTAATAGTTGGAGGTACAAAGAACTTCTCTCTTCATCTGTTGAATTCACATATATTAGGTGAGCTCACTGAAGGTCTCAGAAGCAGAAAGAAAAATGCTTTGGTTTGTATTCTGTGGTATTTCCTGGGCAACTGTTGAAACTTTTAGACCAATTATGGCCTTTGACACCTTTTTGATTAAAGAACGTGCAGGTTCTTTAGGAAAAAAAAAAAATCATCATATCATGAAGAAGATGAGTCCTTTCTTCATGTTTGCCACTTTTCATAACCTTTCCAGGAGAGATGTAAATGATGTTCACTGCAATGCATATAAGTATAACAGGCTCCTTGTGGTTCTCATTTATATTAAGCATGACAAGTATTTTCCAGTCTATGCCTCTCCTTTCTTCTGCATTTTCCATTTATATTCTGGCAAAGCAGTAGCTCTGTCTCAACCTTACCAATGTGAGCATGGACAATACGCCAGATACAGAATCACAGAATCGCAGAATAGTAGGGGTTGGAAGGGACCTCTGTGGGTCATCTAGTCCAACCCCCCTGCTGAAGCAGGGTCACCTACAGTAGGCTGCACAGGACCTTGTCCAGGCGGGTCTTGAATATCTCCAGAGAAGGAGACTCCACAACCTCCCTGGGCAGCCTGTTCCAGTGCTCCGTCACCCTCAGAGGGAAGAAGTTCTTCCTCATGTTCAGACGGAACTTCCTGTGCCTCAGTTTGTGCCCATTGCCCCTTGTCCTGTCACTGGGCACCACTGAAAAGAGCTTGGCCCCATCCTCCTGACACCCACCCTTTAGATATTTGTAAGCATTTATAAGGTCCCCTCGCAGCCTTCTCTTCTTCAGGCTGAACAAGCCCAGCTCCCTCAACCTCTCCTCGTAGGGGAGA